AAACAAAATGTAATTAAAATTGTGTTCTTCGACGCCATGCGATTCGGGAATATAGCGGAAATTTCTACGGCGCTTGTGGTGTCACCTATGATACACTTTGACTTCCACGCAACTGCACAATCAGAAAACTACGAGAGAGAGAACGGTGATGAGAGTCGGTCCCATTGTCACTCAGTCTACTAAAGATCTGCTAACGATTCGATCGTCACCAAATGAGTTACGGAAAAACAGTTGAATCGGGCAAGTGATGTGTACCCCCACATCGAACAGGCATACCCTTCTCCGGAGAAGCTTCGAGCTGATGAGCGGCTCGCTAGCCTACGCTTTCAGCATGTTCTGGACACTGGAAACCTTATGGAACACGTTTTGGAGACTGGTGGATCGTACGTCGAATCAAACTATGCACCTTGTTGATATAGAAGTTCATTAAAAACGTTTCATTCGAATCGACTTTTCGTCATTTATTGTTGCAATGTTCTTAATAATATTTACATTACGTTTACATTATATGCTACTACGTGTTTTACAAATGAGCCCATTAAGGGTAGAAAGTTTAATTAAAATCTCGGGGTTCATTCAAAATTAATACAAGGGTAAAAAGGAAACTTTAAAGTAAGTTTTTGAATTTTTTCAATGTTTTCTTCGTGACATAGGATTTAAGACTTCCCTCCAAATAGTTAATGGCGTAAATAGTTTTTTGTTATAGGTGTATGTCTATTATTCATCTTTAATTATTGCAGATAGGTACATGATCGTTCGGCAATATCTTATAGGTTAAGTCTTGAGTGGAATAATTCAGAAAAATAAGTATTTATATTATTACTACATGTCCTTTTCAATTTATCCGGTTGTTGGGAGCATTCAGGTTTTATTAAATTAACAGAAAATAAAACATAGCTTTAGTTTCTTCATCTACATTCAGAAATTATATCTTAAAATTGTTAATTAAGAAAGTGTTAATAGGGCAGAGAACATTAAAGCCATGCCTGAAGCAGTAATACGATAATATTGCCCCATGACGCAATTTAGCATATAATAAAAATGATTTTCAATAAAAACCACATCGTCATTATGATCTTAACCACATACGGAATACAACTGAATACATCTGAATGTGGAATCCATTAGACACATATTTAACATAAAATTGAGATCGTACCTGTCTCCATAGTATTTAACATACAAACTGGAGAAATCTGTATAAAGAGTGAGGAGATGCAACAAAATGCAACATTAACACAAACACCTTGTTACTTTTGTAATTATCGACAATCTTAACCAAATGAACACATAAGTTTTTTGTAATGTTCATATTTATCTTAGATAGAAAAAGAATTTGAATTATAAAATTGGAAGTATCAAAAATTCACGAGATCTATTTAGAGATTCTTATTATCACTGAGAGAAGAGAAGGATTTATCTACTTAAACCGCTTAGCTTAATAAAAAACAACATTTTAGCCTAGGCAAGTTCTGTTTCATTTGAAGGTGGACAATGAACTCTAAGATAATCTTCCTTCCCATAAGTCACATATGCAATTTTGTGTCAAAGCCGGCCGTCAGCATTATTTAATTTTGCATAGTTAGAAAACATTCAAGCGTGCTTTTTATGACCCAAACTATGAATAAAATAATGAATTACTTGTGAATGAATCAGGCTATTTGCAATTTTATAGTAACTAGCATCACATGGCTGATGTAGAGAAAATAACGTATGGGATTGAAGTTTGTGAACCCAAGCTGTAGCAGAAATGTATATCCAACCAAATATGTTGCGTTTGATATCGGCCATGAGTGTCAATATATTTCGTGTTACCACCTTTTTATAGGAAAAATACCATAAGGAAATACCATAAGAAGTACTTTTTTTTTTACAGGAGCGCCCTTACGTCATCTTTACGAACAACTTTTTTGTTTCGATTATTCAAAGCGAATATCGAAGAAAAATTCTTATCGGATGTATGTTTGCGATGTGACGACATAACTGCGATTACGAAAAAGATTTAACAAGAGGTACAACACACTTTATTTGCCGATTTATTTTTAAATTACACAAATTCGAAGTAGGGCCATAATTTTTAAGGCTAAAAAATGTTTGCCCAGTCCAATTTACTCAATATTATCGAGGAGAAACTAAAACAAAACTACTTGTCCTGAAGAGGAAAATATTAAATTCCAAATCGATTTTTTTGTAGTAAGAAGTATGCCAAACACTCCTGAAGTACCGTACAGATAAACGTAAAATGTAAAATTCAGAAAATAAAGAAGAAAAGTAGGTCATTGCAATCACAAATGAAGAGCTCTCAGTTATATTAAGAAAAAGATAATGCTGCCACATTTTTGAAAATGAGATCATAAGTAATTCTTTCATACAGGCAATTCTTACGAGGAGATAAAGTCTAAGCTTTGCTGACATAACTCGTAATTTATTAATAATTATAATATCATGCGAAAGGAACGGAAACTCTTGCTAAGAGAAATTCAGTATTATGAATTTAATTAAAGAAAGTACTATCTGAACTTATTTTCTAAATTGAAATTATGTCTGAGGAAAGGATAATCCGTCATAACTATCACTGGTCTACATATTAAATATTAATATATTAGATTGAGAACACAGCGGGACCTGACGGGGAAAGGCTTTATCTCCCGAAAAAGCGAGTTCACGTGTCCGTATCTAATCATTTGATGGTGACGAGTGTTGCCCAGATATCTGCAAAGAGATAACGACGTGAAAAGATATCAAGAACATTAAATGGACGTGCCTAAATAACGAGAGAATGCACCACGATAATTTTTTTGTCTTAAATCTCACATTTTATTATTTATGAATTAATAAGCGTAAAAACAGATGTCGCATTGAGCACGGAAGAATTCATTTTAGGAAATATATACAGGACAGTCATTGTTATTCTCAAAACAAGTGTTTGTGAAGGCATAAAACAAATATTACGATTACATTCTTTTACTTCGTAAAAATTGGTAAGTGTTGTCATCGAGGAGAGTTAACATGTTATTCAATGCAAGGGTCAATAAAAAGTTTTACCAAACCGTCTTGCCAAAGATAGCTATTCAAATGAGAGAATTGAATGTAATCAGTGTTCTTCCTATTTGATAGCACATACTACATTAAAGTTAAAAATAATGGATAAGAATTTTATTTTCTTGTAAGATGCAACATTAAGACTTATTTCTGAACTTCAGTTCGACCAAGACGACTAAGGTCTCTACGAAATACTCTTATACATCTTGTGCAACACCACTAGTTCTCACACATTTCCTGACGTGCATGTTTTACATCAGTTCTTAAATAAACTTGAATGCGATATCTATATCACATTCGCAATATTACGCGTCACTAAAAAACACAGAAATACTTGCAGCATATCGCTTATCTACTTCACCAGGTTTCAAAGCTCATTAACAATATTTCCGCATAATTTGACGCCTCTGCATTTCAACCGTGTTTAAAGGCACCTCCTGGCGTCGATCATTACCACTTCCGGGCGAATCGACTGCCTGGCCCTGGAAATCGCTGCTCCGTTTCCGCGTTTCGTTACTAGATGTCACCCTACGGCGCTAGGTGGCACGCCCAATCGTTCGCACACTGCGGAGTAAACAGCCGTTCGCACCCCCAATCAATACGAAAGTTCTCTCCGCTACCACACGAGCGCTGCTGTCACCCGTGGCAACATGGATGTCGACTCCACCCCAACGCAGCGCATTGCAAAAGGGTGGGGCACCGTCAATACTCTCGCGGAAACATCGTTGTTTCATGAAATTACCACAGCTCCCGGATTTCCAATGCCAGACGCCAAAAATCAGGAAATTAATTGCAAGTTTTTATTTGAGGGTGAAATACCCTTGATGTGATAACAGGGTTGGTGAACATTTTGTCGTGCTTCTTTTGGGCGTGTCCAGCTGCAACCCGCAGAGCAGTGGCTGCGCCATGTTGCGAACGTCATCTCTCGAAAATTAACTAGATGGCAGCACGATCGATGCGCGAAACTGGATTTCAGAGTGCGTGGAGCAAAGAGAGTGAAAGTGAGAAAGAGAGAACACTTAACAAGTGGTCGAATGTAAGGAAAGGAGAGAAATTAGAAAATGAGTAGATCGTAAATGATTATTTGAAGTCCTTTTGTACCTGAGATACGAATACGTAGTTCATATCCGAATATTCTGTGGCAACTAGTTTTTAAACAAGAATTGGGCAGTCCTACATAAAGTCGGTAATTATTTTTTATATCAGCACTTTGTAAATGAATGACCGATATCAATACCGATTTAAACACTCATTACCACGTGGTCAGAAGAGATTAAACCGTAGTAGAAAGTGTGATCCTGTGACTCATCCCATAAAAAGATGAACTGAATTAACAAATGGCATCCGAACATAAAATAGAAGTTGGAATCATAGCCTCCCTCTAGTTAGCTTCTTATTAATACAAGTTGATGACAACAAAAATATATTGAATGTAGGTGGCCAAGATTCGAACCTGGAGAACTTTGCACTGCGGATCGTAACTTTGTGGGGAAGCGAACAGTTGACAAGGTCTTCTTACAGGTGTGGGCAGGAAAAGTATTGTTGCAAGCAGAAATACTCGTCTGAAATGCGTTC